GTGGCTAGAGTGCTAATCTGGCCACCAACCCTCAAACTTTCCCCTTAAAAGCTGAAAGACCTGTTTGTAGGGCTGGATATATATTAACATCATACCCAGGCCAAAGCAGTTGCAGGTTGAGGGTCTTACTCAAGGGCTTAATGGAATATATCACTCCTGGCATTCACGGGACTCGAACTGGCAACCTTCCGATTACTGGCACATATCCCTAGCCTCAGGGCAGCCACTGTAACCCAGGTTGCATAATATTATATAATCCATTGCATGTCACACATAATCAGACTACTGAAGGCTGGATTTAAACACCCCAACAGTCCTTTTCACTGATCCTCAAATGGCTAATGGAGCCCCAAACTTCACTTATGTGTTTTATACAACCTCCAAGAGCTGTCAAGTGAATGACAACGCACATCCAGTAATACTTTCCAGGATAACACTGAGTACTTGGCTTCCCTGGAAGTAACGCCACACCTTGGCCCGACATTCATAATAAAAAGAAACTTGTGACAGAGCAAGAATCGCACACAGTCTGATTTTCAGATTTATTTGGTTACAAAACATGTACAAAACAAAGTGTAGAAAAAAGAACCAGCGAATCTCTAATTATAAAAGCAGGTGAAGATTACAGTGTCAGAATGGGAGATGGAGGAGAATGTAACGGTGGGGAAAAGCGAGCATGATGCAGAGTAAGGGCGTGACACCCAATTCCATCCAAGAGGGCAAGTCAACAGGTATCTGTCCTACAGGTATGACGTTTAAGGGTCACCAAGTCGCATCTTCAGAATGAATCTCTGCAGAAGGGATGCAGTAAGATTGACATACATTGTCATAAAATCATGGGTTAAATAATCCATTCAAACCCTTGTCACTGCTAAATCAATTCAGGTAACTATAAGCGTATGACGGAGGCGGTTTATCAGTGCACCAGGCCTCTGATGATGTTCTTTCTGCTTTTCTTTGTCTACATAACTAGTTCTTATCCCACCAGATATGAATGGCAGGTCTGAACCATCCTCATAGTTAATTAAAGTCTTAGCAAGCCCTAGATTGGACCTTTGTTTGAATGGGCTTCTGGGAGTCGGATTATATGTAGCACTGCCAGGGTGCTGCTAAGTGACCGGGGGCGGGGCTTCTGTCTGTGGTCATGTAAAGGCGGGGCTTCTGTCTGTGTTCATGTAAAGGCGGGGCTTCTGTCTGTGGTCATGTAAAGACCACCTCCAATACCCAGCAGTGACCCGTTGAGGGCCAACTGTGGAGTAAGTGCTGAGGGCATTGGATGGTATCGCACTGGGCTGAGGCAGTGGGTTCTGTGCCTGAAGTGTGTTCAGGTAAGTGCTCAAGAATTCATGGTTGGGGGGGCTACAGGCGGGTTGGGGGGCGTGGTCATTTTTAAACAGTGAAAGTGAGGTGTGGATAGTTGTCATGAGGTAACAGGGTCCTCATAGTGATGGACACTTGATCCGGGGGCTATGGAAGTAAAGTCAGGTTTGAAGAACTGAGGTGTGGAGTCGAGGCTGCATATTGGGGGGGGGGGGTCAGTGCTTGCGAGTGCGATGCCCCCCCGTGCCGGTGGTGGTGACATAGAGCACAGGCTGAGGATGCCTGAGGTGAGGCCCCCGCTTCACGCTGCCCAGGTGGCTGATGGGATAGTTGGATATAGAAATGTCAGAGGTGGCTGTTGTCAGGCCTGAAAAGGAAAGGAAAATCGATCACTGCCCCGCACAGACTAGGCACTATTCCTGTCTACATCTGACGGAGTGAGGAGAGTGACGGCCATTTATTCACATATTTACGGAAAGAGGAGTTAATCTGGCAGTTGATAATTGGATAAGAGGAAGACAGATGGACCAGTCATACTTTACTTATCAGATGTGGTGAGGCTGTCAGTCTCTCACCACATCAGTAATGGCATCTCCTCTGATGGCATAAAGCCTTATTTAAGGTTCTCACATTTGCCTGTGGTCACATCTGCGATATGCACTCAGGAAGATGGATGTGCTCGCATGTGTGCTCAGTCTCCCACACTGTCTATTGAAGCTAAAAGGATGCACTGCGGTTTCAAGCCAGGTTGTCTTGGAGCTTGACGAGTAGAAATTAGAATGATAACCAGTACATTTCTGTCAAATATTACCGATACCAGTAACTGGCTAAACTCTGATCTCCATAAATCTGCAGTGAATCTGATGTCAGTGGTGCAGTGGTGATACTTAAGATCCAGTGAATGTGTGTAGCAGCCACATCACATAAGGCAGGCAGTGAGACGTCAGCAAAGCAGCGGCGACCTGGGAGACTGTAGCGAGGTTCTAGGGGCAAATGAAGCGACGAAATCCCTCGTCCTCCACTATGAAAAATGGCTGATCGACCAATGCCATCACCTGCTTTATTTCAGTAGTTGTGTCTTTATTTGTGGTGCTGCTAGCTTTGAATACTGATAAACTTTGAATATCGGCTGGCAGTATTGGGCCAAACTGGCACATCGGACCGGTGCCCATGTCTCGATTTTTAACGAACATCAGCCGATACCGATACTCTAAGCGACATGTCGCATACCTCTAACTGGGAGGCTCACCTGCCTGGTGACCGTGGTGGGCTGGCTGGATTTTAGTCAGGGGGTGGACACCCCGAGCCTGGGGCCGCAACGGGGGGGCGGGGGGCTGCAGGCCGTGGAGATGGGGGTCCGAGGTGCTGTCCAGGGGCCGCAGACGCTGGCTAGCTGCCTTGGGATGTGGGAGCTGCGGTAGGCGAGGGGAGGTGGTTGGGGTGGAGGTGGGGGGGAGAGAGACAGGGGGCGAGATTAAAATAGGAAGCGTCTGCAGATGGGGCTGGCGAAAGTCCAGTGGATGAGTCACACGGTAGCACAGAATGCGTCACTGAAAAGCAGCCAGGCATTCCAGCAGCTGCATGACGGTGTCTGAGTACAGGGTCCTATTTTACCATGATTTACCAGGTGCCAAATCATAAGGAACCAGCTGCAGGAAGTCATTAGATATGCAGATTATACCAAGCATATTATCCCCTCCCAGCCAATTAATGGACCTGCAGTCGCACTGCACATTGTTTGCACTAAGCACATTATTTTATTTATATATAAAATATAATACGCTAATTTTCTTGATTGTCCTCATTTGTTTTGCACGACATCCCAAAGTCAATCCTTTGTATGTGAAAGTACTTGGCGATAAATAAGCAATTCTGGTTTGATTAAGATATGCACTGTAAGGGTTGCGGGTTCGAGCCCAACAAGGTTAATGTCTGCTGTACCCTTGCATAAAGCTCTTAAGCTGAGCCGCTCACTCACCGCTTGCCCTGTGACCTCGAAGGAGCGGGACCTCCTCTTGCGACGGCGGCACTCGAAGTCCTTTTCCCGGGGGGCGGGGTTTTTGGGTGCGGGCAGGCGGCGGCAGCGCCGGGTCCAGGTGCCCCGCTGCCCGGGTCCCTCCCCAGTGCTGCTGGACAGGTTGTCGTCCGAAGTGGCGTGCCGTAGCTCGGGGCTGGGCCGGCGGCCGCACCGCCGCTGCGTGCCTCTAGGGGGTGCCTCGCTCAGGGACAGGCTGCTCTTGTGCTTCTTGGGTTCCAGTGGGGAGGGCGGTGGTGGCAGCCGCAGAGTGTCGATCTCCAGGGCCTTAGGGCGCCGGCGGGCAGCTTTTATGGCGATGTCCTTCACACCCTTCAGGATCTGCTGGCACTCTGCAAGCGCGCACACACACACACACACAGACAAACACACAAACACACACACACAGACACACACACACGGACACACACACACGCGGACACACACGGACACACACACACACGTGGACACACACGCACACACACACAGACACACACACACACACACACACGCACACGCACACACACACACGGACACACACACATACACACACGCACGCACGCACACACACGGACACACACACACGCGGACACACACGGACACACACACATTTGAATATCCAGTCAGTACCAGGGACCGATTTCTGTGAACTCCATATTGAAACACTGCAGCAAGCTTTGCTGGTAAAGATCAGCCCCGAGTAAATCTGACAGCGTGCTGGATGGAAATAACTAACAAACATTTCCACACAAGCGCCGTCCTCTAATGCGAGCGCGGCTGCCTTCAGACGGCGACACAGTGCGGACATCTCACACACACAAGCGCCGTCCTCTAATGCGAGCGCGGCTGCCTTCAGACGGCGACACAGTGCGGACATCTCACACACACAAGCGCCGTCCTCTAATGCGAGCGCGGCTGCCTTCAGACGGCGACACAGTGCGGACATCTCACACACACAAGCGCCGTCCTCTAATGCGAGCGCGGCTGCCTTCAGACGGCGACACAGTGCGGACATCTCACACACACAAGCGCCGTCCTCTAATGCGAGCGCGGCTGCCTTCAGACGGCGACACAGACACATCTTACACAGCATCTTCTAGCCTCATAAAACCTCAGTGTTTTGCCCTTATCATGGAGTTTGCAGCTTCCCCGCCGGAGAGCCCGCAGAAGGTGACCTGCCAGCAGCTCTGTCACCACTGTCACCCTCAGAACCGGGTAGGATTATGACCCATGGGCTTGGCGGACCCGTGTTTGGCCATCAGCCCTGTATAGGAACGGACTCGCTGGAGCTATTACCGCTTATTACCGCTATTAAAATAAACGCACATGAGATCACGCTGCACTAAAGTGTTCAAGCACATTGCAGATGGGGACAAACAGGAAGTGCACTGGGGGCGTCGGCAGTGGAAATGCTCATTTCCCAATATTCATTGTGGTCACGCCGGTTGGTGTCAAAATTTGCAGAAAAGTTCTGCCTCTTCCGAGAAATGCTGCAACCCACCTGCCCCCGCCCCCCCCATTCTCCAGGAAACACTTTGGCAAATGCTTGTCTGCTTGAGAAGACGCCCCCCAGAGGTGCCTCTGAGCCTCACCTCTGTGTGAGAGCGTGGCGTCGGTCCCATTCTCGCTGCTCTCAGGGGATGAGTCTGGCTGACTGCTGACACTGTGGCTCAAGGGTCCGAAGCGGGGGCTGAGGTCCTGGGGAGGCACCAGGAGGGT